AGGCAGAGTTTGTGGTTTATATAAAATCAGTACTTGGTGCTTTATGATAGAGATTCCCAAACATTTCAGCCTGGGACCCCAAAAATAACAATGAAACAGACAGCAGACCCCCAAAAATACAAATACATTACCTAACACCTTAAAGTGAAGCAATTATGTTTTAAATGAATTCATTTTTAATGACATTTCACCATTGAATTCACTAAATTAAATGCATTTTGAATTATTTCATGGGAAATTCTATGATTTAATTGTGGAATTTAACTGTGCACGTTTTAAGGATAACTGGCTGTTTTCTCAGATTATATATTTAAAAATAATTTCAAATATTTCTTTTCATTTTTAAAGATTTTTTTATTTTATTTATATCTTTTCAAATTGCTCCTACCGTCCCTTCAAACCCATGTCATCCCTCACTCTTGACCAATCAAAATGTCTTTGCTAACACCCAGTAGACCAATAGAAATGCATCTTGGCCCCTCCCTCCAGAGGAAAGCCTCCTTGGGAAGTGAGTTAAATGCAATTTGAAAAAAAAATGCAACTTTAAAAAGTTCAAAAAAAGACTATTGAAAAATAAAAGTTCAAAATATAAAATCTGTAAAATGAGTTTAGAAAAAAGATGTCAAACTCAAAACCCTTTTTTGAAAACCAAGTTCTTCAAATCTTCATTTATAAAATGTCTTCTTTGCAACAATAAAGGAACAAAATTCCCTCCATATTTCATGATATTTTAATTTATTTAATTGGAATTCATATTATTATATTTCAAAGAGCGCATCGCAGTGACTGTGAAAACTATCTACCGACCCCCCTACTTGATGCCTTGTGACCCTGTGGGGGTCCTGAACCTTCTTTTGGGAACCCCTGCTGTAGGACATGGTCTAACTGGCAGGAAAGTATAAGCAACAAACTGCAGGTAAAGGAGCAGGCGCTGCAGCCATGCAGCAAACAGACCTTTATATAATCTTCCTTGACCCTGTTTTTTTACTAGCTGTAAATCATGTCTGTCATAAACGGAGGGCTCGCTGGCCTGACATGCACGCCACCGCTCTCTTACCTCGTCCCCTTTGAAACAACAAGCTCTGTCTTGTTAAGTCTGTTCGTATCACGCCGGATCGGTCGAACATGCATCCCTTACATTCAGCTTTTTTTCATTTCCCATCTGAGTTCTGCTGTAACTCTGCAGAGGCAGAGAATAATCCCAAACCACCAATAAAAACGGTTCTGAGCTTCACAGCAGATGAAACCTTCCTGGGGCCCCATAAAACTCCATTTAATCCTTTGGCTAAAATGCTATCAGAAAGCTTATAAACTCAGTTCTAAGCTTATTGAATGTGCCTCAGCTTTTGACAACTTTTTTTCTACTCCTTACATTTTAAAAATAGACTCGTTCCATCCAGACAGTTAATTTCTTTATGGTTGGATTCGGTGCTGCCCCAACTGGTTGCTCACATCAAACCAAAACAAATAAATGATCAAGATGATGCAAAGTTAAATGTGACTCTGTTACTTTTAGTTATAAAACTAATAAAATGAAGTATAAGGACGTTAGCATCCCGAATTGCACAACAATGTCCC